CTGATGGGTAAATTTGCAGGGAGGGCTCTGGAGCAGTAAAGAGTGCTGGAGTGCATCATGTAATATCTTTGTCTTTTTTTTTTTTCCTTAGCTCTGTTTCTAAAGCAACATGCCAGAGTAAAAAATCATGTAGAAAATGAACAATTGCAATAGTCAGATTTAAATGCTCCAGTGAATAAGTTCCTGAATTTTTTTTTTTTAATTCTTAAATTTTGGTGCTTTGAGAAAGAGATGCATTCCACATGATCACCTGGTTCTTTGAGACTTCAATACAGAATTGCAGAACTTTTTCTTTCTTTCTTTTTTCAGGTTTTTGCCATAGGGTACAGGCACTGGCTGGAGAGGAGAGACAGACAGAGAAACAGAGAGGAAAGTAAGAAATCAAACCCGAGGGGTGATTCTCTTCCATTCTCTTCTTGGGATTCTAGACACAAACGTACATGTGCCAGGTGTGAGTTTCATGTTACCAGGCCTGAAACTCGAACTGCAGTCTGCCGTGAGAGTCCAACACCTTAACCACCTGCTGACCCAAGGGTGGCAGGACTCTGAAGAGTACTGGGCTCCATAGCTCTGTGGGTAGAACACAGGCAACAGAGGGGATGCTCCATTGAGTATCATAATTTCTGGCAGGTCCATTTCTAGGAGAGCTGAAATGCTAGGGAAATGTTCTAGGTGGATGGTTCTTAACCTGGAGCATGTGTCAGAATCAGCTGGAAGATTTCTGGATCCCATCTGTGGGTTTCCCCTCAGTGGTCTGGGCTGGGGAGGATAAACCTAACAAGGTTTCAAATGATGTGGATGGGACCACTTTCAAAGCATTGCTCCACTTCACTTCATGCCGAAGTTTTCAGTATTGAAATACACTAGGACTAGTCTATTCTAGACCAATGAGATACTGGCATTATTTAAATGGTCTCCCGAAGACAGATTATATAACCCTCTGTGGGCCATCGCTGTCAAGAGCTTGTGCATTAAGCATTTTGCAAAACCAAAGATCATCCTGGCGATTTCCATTCTGAGAACTCTCTTTACACATTGTCTGGGTAGAGTGGGAAGAAGCCAACTGCAGCTGATGTGAGAGTGTGTGAGTGAGTGTGTGTGTGTGTGTGTGTGTGTGTGTGTGTTGTTGGTTCACATGTGGTTGGTGTATACCTCTATTTTGTAGATTAAATATTCACCATGTGGACACTCTCATCAAAGCTGCTGAGCTCAAGCACGTGCTTACCAAATGATCCAGCCATTCCATTGTTAGGTATTTTATCATGAGAAAAGGAAACATATGTACAAAAACTCGCTTGTGAATGTTAATGGCAACTGTGTTCGTCACAGTCCCAAATTAGAAATAAGCCAAATGTCCACTCACGGGTGGACAGATGAACATGCTGTGAAAGGCCATACTGTAGAGTACCATTTAGCGAGAAAAAGAAATGAATTGACAGTCACACAATGTGGATGAATGTCAAAAACTGCCCAATGAAAGAAGCCATGAAAAGTCTCTATAAACTATATAATTCTATTTACATATAAAATTCAAGAATGTACAAACTGTAGTGGTAGGAAAAAAGATCAGTGGTTGCCAAGAGACGGGCATGGGAGTGCAGAGGAGTGGGAGGGAGGTGTTACAAACGGTCACGAGCAAACTCGGGCTGGCGGGTGTTTCACAGGTGTCTATGTAGGTAGAGCATCAAACATACACTTTATAAATACCTGTGCAGTTTGCTCTTTGTCAGTAGAAGTTAGAAAGCTATCTCCTAAAACCCACCACCCTCCATTCAAGTGAGATGTTTGTGTGGTCGCATTCCTGAAAAGGATCTAAAACTCTTCTCTCAGCATGATGAGTCCTCTAACCCCGTTGCAGGTCTAGTTCTAGCCCCTTACTTAGACGGCTCTGCAGAGGCCTTCCTAGGTTCTCCATATTAGGACGAGGCGGAGTGAGGGCTTATTGCTAACAAAATATCATTCTCTCTGAGAAGTAAGAAGGAAGAGACTGTCTAATCGATACTCTCCTCCATGGTTAGAGGTGTAGGGGGCTGTCAGTGGGGACTGACACACTTCCTGGCTTTTCTCACCTGGCTCACTCAATAGATGGTCACATGGTGTTCCTGCCAATGTTCCTTGCCCAGGGTGACAGTGGATGTCTCGGAGGCAACCGACTGACTGTCCTATTGTGATGCCCAAGTTGAGTGGTCCAGGTTACCTCTGTTCACACAGTCCTTAGGGGTGTCGGGCATGGGGTAGGCAGGTGTTTGGGGTGTGTCTGTGCCCACATTCCTTTCTAAGGGGAATGGCTCACCAAGCCTCTGCTACCCAAAGTCCCGCTCATGCTGGGTGTCTATTATCACCTCTGTTGATTGTCCCTGAGGCGGAATGGGGTTAAGAGTGGTGGGAGGGAGGGGTTATGAAGGGTCATGTCTTGGTTGGCATTTGACCTATGACCCATTATGACTTGAGACAAAACAAAAAGACCTGACCAGTTAGGTTCCTTTCTGAGAAATGTTGAAGTGGGAAGTTGAAACACTGAGTTACAAGCAAGCAGTAAGAAAGGAATCCAAAAGGCTGGGATGTAGGCAGGACAAAAAATGAGGCCACAGAGGCTGGGACAGCCACCATGGTGGGAGCTGGAGAGTTGAGATAGCAGAATCCTTGAGGAGAGAAAAGCCCAGGCTTTGGGGAACAATGGCAAACCCTGTTTCAATCAAAATCGTAGAGGCAGGGATGCCATGTAGATAGAGCAGCCACAATGACTCAGATTTGAAATCAGAAATGTTGTTTTCACCCCAGAGTCACCATTTCACATATGTGCAATCCCAGGCAATTATTATTTTATTATTTTATTTATTTGTTTTTAGAGAGAAATTTTTTTGTGGGACCAGCAGTTGGCATAATGGCTATGTTGCTGGACTCCCACGTGGTTGACTGTGCTTTGAGTCCTGGACCTGGTGGCTTAACCTCACACCGGGCGCATGTGCATACATGCCCAAGATCTCAAGAAGAGAATGGAGGAGAAGGGATTGTGGTATAGCCATCCTCCCTGGGGGGTGATTTCTCGCTTCCTGTCTCTCTGTCTCTGTCTTTCAGGCATGTGCTCACCAGAAAGACAGATCTTGGGCACACATGCATGGACACGTGCATGTGTGGTCATGCCACAATCCCTTCTCCTCTATTCTCCTCTCGGGATCTTGGGTACGCACGCACACGCGCCCAGCATGAGTTTAAGTTACCGGGTTCAGGACTTGAAACGCAGTCAACTATGTGGGAGTCCAGCGACATAATCATTACGCCAACCGCTGGTCCCCTCAGGTGATGATTAAACTTCTCCTTGCTCCTACTTCCTTCTGCTTCCTCCCCAGGAAGTGGAGCCAGCAGCCCTTACAGCAGTGAGCTGGGGAACTCCTACTGGGGTCTCCCTGGCATAGTCAGTGGCTGAAGATGGATTTTCCATGATGTGAACTCCCTTCCTCTTCTGAACGAAAGCATGTATGGGGGGGGGCTTTCACTGGCTCCCCCATGCCTCCCCTGAAAGTCCTCACTCGGGACTTTCGATCTCTGTTCCAGGGACCTTTCAGCCTTTTCTCCCACATTCAGTTGGTGCCCTAGGAGGTCACAACTGGCTTGAAACACCTATCTGTCTTTGGTTTGGTCTGCACAAGGTTGGCCAGCATGGTGTTTTTAAAGTTGGAAGCAAGACATTTTACATAAAAAATTGGATTGCTGAATACTCTTGATAAACTGACCACAGCGAGCTCATATTCTTGGCAGGCAACAACTTGGGTAGGCTCTCCAGAGACCCAGGCCTGCCTCTCTGAATTGCGTCCTTGACATGTTGAGTTTAGTGTCCTTATCAGAAGAGAAAGGCTGAGTTTTGCTGACCCCCTGTTACTAAGCTCATGTTATCATTTTCTTGACCTTGGCCTGGTTTGCTGGACCCCTGTAGATTATTTGTGTTCATGACTCTAACTTCCCCCAGTAAATGGTCTTATTTGTCTTTAATTGAAATGCCCTGTGTTAGTTTTCTATGGCCGTGTAACGAATTACCACACATTTAGCAGCTTAGAACACCCATTTGTTATCACAGCATTTTTGTAGGTCAGAAGCCCAGGTGGGCTCAGCTGGAGTTGCATCTCCCAGGGGTGAGGTCAAAGTATTGCCCAGGCTGAGCGCTTCGCTGGGGGCTCAAGGGAAGCATATGCTCCAAGCTCCTTCCTGTCATGGCAGAATTCAGCTCGTGGTCAGAACTGAGGAACTTGCCTCCTTGCTGACTGGTAGCTGAGGGTGCTCTCTCACCTCCTCGAGGCCACCCAGGAGTCCTGGTCAGGACTCCTCCAACTGCAAAACCAGCAATGGTGTGTCCAGTCCTCCTTGTGCTTCAGATATCTCTGAAATCTTTTGCTTTCATCTTCTGCCTCCACTTTAAAGAACTTCTGTGAGTACACTGTACCCATGCAACCCAGGAGTCCTGGTCAGGACTCCTCCAACTGCAAAACCAGCAATGGTGTGTCCAGTCCTCCTTGTGCTTCAGATATCTCTGAAATCTTTTGCTTTCATCTTCTGCCTCCACTTTAAAGAACTGTGAGTACACTGAACCCATGCAGATAATCCAGGTTAATCTCCCTATCATAATGTAAACTGGTAATATCCCTTTTCCATGTAGGGTGAATGTTTGTGCCCCGCCCCCCTGCTCTGACTCCCAGTGTGATAGTATTTGGAGGTGAAGGCCTTCAGGATGTAGTTAGTGTTAGATGAGGCCATGAGGGTAGGGCCGCTATGTTGAGTTTAGTGTCCTTATCAGAAGAGGAAGAGATCAGAGTATGCTCTCTCTCTCTCTCTGCCTTCTGACGACACAGCAAGAAGGTGGCTGTCAGCAAGAAATAGAGCCCCTATCAGACCTGACTGTGCTGGCACCCTGAGCTTGAACTTCCTAGCCTCTAGCACTAAGAGAAACAAACAT